ACTTCATCTGTTGCTGAAAAGCAAGAGTTGAGACTAGCAGATTGATTTGTATCTGAGAGATATAGATTGATCTGTTTCTATTTGATTTACGTACATTAAATTATATCAGGCATCAAATTATTTGAATACTATTATTCTAATTTGATCCACTTATTTCTCAACTTATTTAACGATATATGTCGTCCATTAATTACGATAATATCAATAATAATCAAATACCTTTACAAGATCCCAATGCACCACCACGTTTACTAAGAAATATACGTCGTCGTGGTGGTGTTTTAGGGCGCAATAATTATATAGGGCGCAACAATAATTATGTAGGACGCAATAATGATTATGTAGGGCGCAATAATAATAATTTAGGGCGCAATAACAATAATAATAATTATTATACAGGGGACAATCAATTTTATGATCCGAATAGGGGTAATCAATTTTATCGTCAAAATAGAGGCAATATATTTAATTATCGACGTTATCCTCCAAATTATTATCGTCGAAATATCTTCTACAATCGGAATTATCGGATACCACGACAATATTTTATTCCAAATGATATAGGTGGATATGGTTTCGTAGGTCAGCGACAACAACAACAACAATTAAGACCAATTCAACCGGTTAGATCTCCTAGTCGGCGTCGATTAAGTAATCGTCCAAGAAGACGAGGTCCACGGCAAATTCGTTTAAATGATTTTATGCCAACTGAATTACGTGAACCTTCACCAAATCTTCCACCGGAATTTAATATAGCTCCAACAACGGCACCAAACGCTCCACCAAATGCATTACCACAGCGTGAGAGATTTGCTCAAAGAAATACGACTCAGCCTTTCATTGTCACTGAAAATAATCAAAATCAACAGCTACAGCAACAGCAACAGCAACAAAATCAACGACAACGTAAAACTACGTCTGCATTTAGACGTCGACAACGTCGTAATAATCGATTTGCTGTCTTAGCTGATGAAAATGATAATTTATCTGATGTGGAAGTAGAAGTGGAAGATGAACCAATACCGTTAAATGCTAATAAGAAACAAAGAATAGATAAGAATAAGAAGAAGACTCGTCGATATCTTGAACCAAATCGTATATTAAAATGGTTAGAAGATCATTCAAGAAGTTCTAAAAATGCAATAAGTAGTCGTGGTAATCAAGCATATGTATTAGCTTCTACGCCTGTTTATGATGAATGGGTTCGAAATAATTATGAATTACAAGTTTGGCAAGCTTATTTAAAAATGGGTACTGAACAAAAACATTGGGCTAAAGAAGTTGTTCGTTGTACAAAAAGACGTGATAATGTTATTAATACCCGATTTGTACAAAAGAAAATTAATCGATTAACTGCTGCTATTGCTGAAGCATGTGCTACTGTTTCAGATTTACAAATCCAATTATCTACATATTGGATGCAAACTATATCTGAAAATACAAATCAGAGATTAGCTCAAACAACAGCTAATTTAGTAGCTAAACAATTATCAGCCGACAGAGCACGTCAAACAACAGCTGCAGGAAATGTAGGTACAGATACAGATGATGAATTAGATACTGGAACTACAGGAACTGCAGGAGCTGCTCCTACGACAACAACAACTACTGTTAAAAATTATGTACGTGAACCAGTTGAACGTATTGAAAAATATATATTAGAATATGTACACTTTTGTACTCAGCATGTTAAAAAGATGGCTCAAGGTCGAATACAATTAGCTAAAGCTCAAATGGAAGAATTTAAAGCTTTAGAAGATTTCGAACAAATAGCCACTCCAACCCAATGGAATACTCATTTTTTGCTTAAACCTAAGATGAAGCTATGGTCAACAAAAAATAAAAATTACCAATTATTATCAAAACGTGTTGAATTAGATATGCCTCCAAAAATTATTGATAAAGTCGATTTTTCTTTTAAAATTGATGAATCAATTATAAGTCAAGATGAAGCGCAAGCCATGTATAATCAAATGCGTCAAATTACCAAAGATTTTCGTACTCAAGCAATGACATTATATGTTCAATCAGCTGCTCGAGAAAATGAAATCTTATCGAATGAAATTAAAGGTATTATCGAAAGATTTCCTCAAGAAAATGATGATGGATTTGATGCTGAACCTGGTTATGCAGCTTTTAAACAATATCATGAATTACGAGAGAAAAGAATGAAATTAGAAATTGAACAATCGCTTTATTTTTTATTCGAACAGCGAGTCGAGGGCGAAACCAACAATCCAGAAGAAGAGGAAATAATCGCTCCGACTCTCATACGTTCGCTGGGCGAGGATTTCTTGCTCCAGCAATAATTAATGAAGCTAATATACAATTAACTGAAGAAGAACATCAATTATTAAAACTGGGACCAAAATTCATATTTAATGACCCAAAAACAGCTGCACGACGGCGCACAATTGAGTTGGCTACTTTAAAACGTAAAATAGAAAAATGTTTTCTTCGTAAGAAGGTTAGCCCCGGTCGTCCGCTCCAATTATTTATTGATGAATTAGATATTCTTCTTCAAACGTTACATAATGTGCCAACAATAGACAAAATTATAAATAAAGATAAACTAATTCGTACTAATATTATTGAATTAATAAATAGTCAAGCAAGTCAATCTCAAATTATGAACACAGTAAAAATGAAGAAAAAGAAAAATTATGGAAGATTAGTTAAAAGATTAAAACACAAATTTAAATTGGCTAATGTTATATTACAAAAATCAGATAAATCAAAAGTATTCCATTTAGGTAAAGTTGAAGATTATCGTAAAAAATCAAAAGAATATATGGAAAAAACTCAAGCATATGAATGTCTTGATAAAGAAGATCCATTACCTGAATTAATTTGAAAGAACAAATAAATATTTGTTAGATTTACGATTAGCTAAATGGATTACTCAAAAACAATATGAATTATTAAGTATTAAAGCAAATGAAGTTCAGCTGGCTCATTTATATTATTTACCAAAGGCTCATAAGCCTGGTACTCCCCTACGTCCAATTATAAGTGGCCTTAAACATCCTACAATTAAAATTTCAAAATTTATGGATGATTTATTAAGACCATTATTTGACAAAATGGCCCAAGAGACGACAGTTACTTCGGGCTTTGAACTGGTCAAAAAATTGAAAAAGTGGTCAATTCTAAATATGAATGGAAATACTATATTTTGTACTATTGATGTAGTAGATTTATATACAATGATTCCACAAGTAGAAGGAGTACTATCATTGAAGAAAATGTTAGATTATTTGAAATTGAAAAAACTTGGTGGTTTAAGAGTTGAAACTATTATTAGATTAAGTCGATTTGTTATGCAAAATAATTACTTTTCTTACGATGGCCAATTTTATCATCAAATTAGAGGTGGAGCTATGGGATCGCCGTTAACGTTGACTATGGCTAACTGTTATATGTTTTTCTTTGAACGACAAATAGTCAAACAAATTAAAAACAGCGGTGGACTCTATTTTAGATATATTGATGATTTATTTATTGTGATCAATTGGCCCGCCAGACATCTATTAAAACAAATCGACAAATGGAAGAATTTTGATGAAAATATTAAATTAAATCCAAATATTAACTCTTTTGCGACTTTTCTCGATTTATATATGGAAAATCGTGATGGTGTATTATTTACTACTGTTTATCAAAAGCCGTCTTATGAACCGTATTACTTGCCATTCAATAGTATTCATCCATTACATATGAAAAAGAATATACCGTTTACGATGTTACTTCGAGTGATTAGGTACTGTTCTACATTCCAAACATATCTGGACGAACGTGAAAAATTACGTATGGCCTTATTATTTAATAAATATCCGAATAAATTAATTGAAGCTCAGTTTAATAATGTTCTTTTAAAATGTAATATTGATCAACTGTTAACAAATTTCAATTATGACAAATATCGTCAAAAAATCATGGATTTGCCCATGAAAGAAAAAGTTACGATTGATTATGAAGCAGTTATGTTTATACATTTTACATATTGTTCTACTATGAAAACTTTTCCAGCTAAATTCCATTTACTTTGGAATAAATATTTTGAGGAATCTCCTATTAATGAAGTTAGACCTATTCTTGGCACTCGAAATGTGAAGAATATACATAGACGTCTAGCTTTTAATATGTGACTATACGATGAATGATTGATGTGGCATTTATTATATAGTTAAATTGTCTACATATAAATTTTATGCATGGTTTCAAATTAAGAAAATGACAAGATATTTAATAATCGGTGTTGTTCTTAACCATAATTGATGTGGGATATTACCCGTCAACTAAACGTCGAGTTATTCATTATACTAAGAACTTGCCTTCGCATATATGCCATATGTATATGTATATAATATTTACACATTTTGATTTATATATGTGACTTATTTATACACCACGTACGCGTACTAATATATCGACAAAATGATATTATTGAACTATAAGTTCACCACCATGTACGCGTACTACTATATAGACAATAGTAATAACATGTTCGCGACCTATACCTCTAGAATATTATTATGTAAAATATATCCGAGGTTCAAACCTGGTTCGTCGCATATTATCTCTATTATATATATTTATAGACAAATAAGTGCTATTACACTTTTGGTGTATTCTTATTAACCAATCCCATCAAGTAAAATTAATTGATCGATTAACTTGTTATTTAACTGATGATTGTTAACCAATTTCATCAAGCAAAATTTATTGATCAATCAATTATTTTATCTTGATGTTTTATATTTGATAAAATGCGTTTTGGTTTCAGTTGTATTATTACAAATGATTCTTGTACCCTTAGAGACAAATAAGTGATATCTTCCCATCGTATGGGAGACGACCGAAATCAATTTATTCTATCGCCTATACCACTTAGAGGTCTAATAACTAAATTTACAACAAAAAATTATATATTTCATCAAATAGAATTTATTGAAAGAATTGAATCACTGATAATTTATATCTTAATATGGTTTACTCAACATTCGATCTTTATTGAAATAGAAGACAACGATACTATAGAAGTTTATTATGTACAAATCGGTGGTTATTCTCTGTAAAGTTTACCATCACGTACACGTACTAATATATCGACAACAAAATTACAAGATATATTTAATTCTGTTATGAAAAGTACAGATGTATTACCAATATCAGATAATAGAAATATATCAACTATAAATATATTATCGAATGATTTAGAAATATCAAATGGAAGAAAATTATGAATTACGTATACGTGCCGAGTCACAATTAATACATGGTGAAGAATGATCAACTATCATACCTTCACAGACCAATCGGTGATATAATTCTTTAAATGTTGCCATTCCAAGTAGACTTGGTACTTTATTTCTAAGTTTGTTTTAGATAGAATTTCAAATTTGTTTTTGACTAGTTTTTAATTTTATGTTTATTATAATAATCTGTAAATGCGTGTTTCAAAACATGTTTTTATAATTGTTCGTAAATGTTGTGTTAAAAAATTTTTAGAATAATGCTTTTGATTGTAATGCAGAGCCCTGATGAGTGTTTCATTATTTCAATAAAATAAACATGAAACGCGTCGGCGAAAATAAACTCTGCATTATCTTTTTATTATTTCATAAAGCACGAATATTCAGTTTGACAAATTAATTACGACTTCATCGGTTGCTGAAAAGCAAAAGTTGAGACTAGCAGATTGATTTGTATCTGAGAGATATAGATTGATCTGTTTCTATTTGATTGACCAAAGATGATTACCATGTATTTGAATGAATCGGGTGTTACCT